TCATCCATATCCCTAACCTAAATTATCCCACCGAAACAAATTGAATTTCATTCGACACCCCAATTCCAGAAACACTTCCGCCGTAATGACATAATTGTAGGCTGTATTGCTCTAATCACCTAAAGTTCATTCAATTATGATAAAGAGCCATCACCCCCCCCCCTCACCTACACCCCAGCCGACAGCGTTGGCCCAATTCGAGAAAGTAGGGCGTGAAGAAGACTTTGGACCCACGGGAACGATATTGCTTGTCTGCCACCCCTCACACTGCAGATGCTCGTTATACGGGGTTGTTCAGGAATAATGTGCAAACAGTATCAGTAATGCGTGGATGGATAGCTGCTTTTCTATTTGGGATACGAATTTTAAATTAGGAGGGTTTTCGGAAAACACTGCAGATGGAAGGTGTTCAATGTTTGTCATTTTTGCATAATTTGGATTGTTCATGGATTTGCCTTCTGTAATCCAGTGCCTATTCTCCAGATAAAACGTAGCAATGGGCTTGTTTCATGATTTTTGATTTACAGTTCATTTGGTAGTGATTTTAAATTTAAAAATAAAGTACTTCGTTCCAGCTCTCTAAATAGCGTTGTTTTCCCGTAATTAATTGATAAATATCGGGTTTTCTAGGCCCGTGACGTCACGGGCCTTGTCCCGCTTCTTGTTCGATTGATCAATAGGAACAATACAAATAATGAACATTGCCAAATTGTGAAATTCACGGAGCGTATAAACAGTTTCTGATTCATTCGTGATTCAAAGTGAAATCACACACACTTCCGACAACTAAATCTAAGAAGAAAGTGTAAGAAATGCATTGGAAGGGAGAATTAATTATACATGAGATCCAAATAACATAAAACGCAATTTAAATGTTATTTTTGAAATATCAACGGTAGTAGATATTTTCATGTTTATACAGTGTCACCATTAAAGTGCGCACCATATGAGAAACTTTTTTTTTTGAAAAGTTTCAATGAAGTTCAACTCCAGCAGTTGTTTGTGCTTTAAATTTAACTTGAAATGATGCGGCCAACTGCAACTAACTAACGTTCAGTGTTTGTCAAATTCAACTTATTTTTTTGATGAAAAAGTGCATTTCTAGATCGAATTTAACAAAAAGTTACTTGAAAAAGTTGTGTCTACGGCAATTTTATATCCATATCCTAAATTTTATGCAACTAGGATAAAGTTAACGTTTTGCTTATTTTTGGCAAATATCCCCTTTATTTTATAAAAGTTCGGTTAATTGTCATCAATTCATGTATACATAAGAAACTCATCATGGAGTTTAATTTTTCTGATACATTTTTACTCATACGAACATTTTTAGGGAGAAATTAAAAATTTGCTATAAAAATTTTAACATGACTGGTGCAAAGTTTCAATCACTATTTTCTTAAACAAACCTTTGATTTCGAAAAAGCAGAGGTAACTAAAAAAATTGCAAATCATTTCGATAGAACTATTATTATTATTATAAATTTTAAACAACAATAATATTATAGAAAATACAAATGGGTACAAAAAATTACTTATTGATCTAAATGATTTGAATTTTGCAATTGGATGCTGGAAATGATTAGAAGAAATTGTGGCTTTCTGAAGACGATAGAATTCACAGACGAATGTAGTTTTTCTCGGGACAAAATTATTGATTTTCATAATTACCACATTTGGGCTGATGAAAACCCTCACGCTATTGTCGAAATCAACCATCAAGATCAGTTTTCTCTTAACGTGTGGCTTGGAGTTATTGGGGATGATTCAATTGGGCCTCATTTTCTACCTCCTTGATTAAATGGTGAGGCATACGTTCAATTTTTAAGAGAAGTGCATCCAGTACTGCTGAAGGAAGTTCCTTCGGGCATCAGAAGGGATATGTTTTTTATGCATGATGTGGCTCCCGCCCATTTTAGTCAAGTAGCACGTCAGAATTCAACTGAAACATATGCAAATCAGTGGATAGGTCGAGGAGGACCTCAGAACTGGCCCGCTCGATCCCCGGATCTCAGTCCTCTCGATTTCTCTATTTGGGGCCATTTACAGCATTTGGTTCATCGTACTCCTGTTCGCGATGTAGAGGACTTAAGAAACCGCATCACCGATGCGTGCAGGGTAATCAGAGAGACTCCAGGAATATTTGAGCGAATACGTGGCTCAGTGCGCCGACGTCTAGACGCATGCGTAATGTCTGAAGGTAGACATATTGAACATTTACTATGATTTCTACATGTTGTGCGTTTTGTTATTAATAAATTAGTTTTCTTTATTTCCCTTTAATCGTTTAATGCAGGTACTAACTACAAAATAACAATTAATCCAGTTCGCATTCATGACGATGTATCTCTGTAGTCGTTCGTAAAATAATTTTTTGCTGCGAACTGGTTTATTTTGGGCAAAAAAAGCCAGGAGACATTTTTTGTTTAGAATGAAACAAGCTATCGGAAATAAATTTTCGAATGGTAAACAAATAAGACAAAAAGTTACATTGGAAATAAATTTTAGGGGTCGCGTTTTCCACGCCTTACAACCATGTGGTAAACCAAATAAATTACTGGCTAAGTGTCTTTTTGGTAGTACAAAACGTCAGATTAATTTCAATATTGTAACTTTTTCAGTGCCTGTGAAAAAAATTGTTATACAAGTTTTATGTACCCCTTTTAAGGAGATGTATCTTAACAAGGGATGCTCCAATGAAGTTTCTTTATATGAAAGATCTTTTTTTTTCGATGAGGAATCACCTCCTTGAATGTTTTACACTTATTCAGTTACACCCCGTATATTACGAGAGTATAATTTACAAGCAGCATGCAAATAGAGAAATATTAGAAATTATTTACCATGTATATAGTACATGATACAGAGAAACTTATACTCATGATTCCAAAGCAGAAAAAACCATATTCTAGGGATGTTTGTTATATCCAGGACCAAAGTTATACAATATGGTCCAAGTAGATTCAAAACGATCCAAAGTAAGGCATAGGCCAGTGAGCATAGCCTAGTAAACCTTATGTCCATGAAAAACTGAAATTCACTGTATTAAAATTGATAATTGTAGTATAGGGTCTTTCAAAAAGGGTTTCCGTACTTTTTTAATTGATAACGGCGATCTGTAAAATCAGATGTCAATTCGGTAAACGTAACAAGCGCTCCGCCCATTTCATGGTGGCCATAATCGTACCGAGGAGACTACACGCAATGTACTGGATGAATATGAGTCCACTGGTTAAGTAAATGATCGACCAACACCCGTAAGTCGACGAAACGCAAGATATGTCGAAAACACCGCCACTGTCTGTGAGAGTGTGCAGGAGAATCCAAGGCACTTGACTTGCTCGCAAGAACTCGGCCTTCCACAGATCACAACTTGGCGAATTTTGCATCGTGACACTTGAGAATGTTGAGTATAGAGTATGGTATGTATTAGTATGTACGCTGACTCTCATCGTCAACGCACATCACACTGCTGGAACTTTAGGTTCAACTTGAGCACGGTCTACTACTCTGGATTTTGCTTTTTCAATGCTCACAATCATTCAGGTTGAATTAAATTATTGATAGCTACAAGTGACTTCCATTGCAGAACTAAATTCACTCGATTCAATGCTGTTAGTAACTCCAGGAACTAACATAGTGGTACTTATTTCGAGTGCTTCTGATGAATGGAGAGCCTAGTGATCCATTACAATCTACAATCCTTCATGAAAACTTAATTGAATATTTTCCGTAATACACTCCCAGAAAACGCAAGTATCAACCTCTCATGGCAGACAATCTTTCTTTTTCGAGTTTTCGTGCCACATATACATTTAAATTGATGAAAAGTCACGAATGGTAACCTTCAAAATGCAGATGAGCTTTGTTAACGTGATGTTTGGAATTCGGATCACCATTAGTTGAGTGTAAAGAGGATGTGGTTGGTTGTTATGTTGACCCATTTAGTGCTTTTGACGCGGCTCTCTAATAGCTCTCTTAAGCTGGGGTTTTGGAATAGATTAATTAAGGCCCATTGAAGTTCTGAATTCTCCGCAAGGTATATGAAATTGGTCGGTTATCAAATTAGTTCATTCAGTAATGCATTTGTCATTTCTATTTCTGCTCCGATAATCCAAATGATTTTTCTTTCATTAAAAGATTTTTCAAAATAATTTGGATGAATAGTGAGTTATGAAAAGACCGTTCATGATGCTAGCTGTAATCATGAAAACATGATCTGCTGACAGCGCTCTTCCAAGAAATCTTTATCTGGACTTGCCGAGCTATGCTCATATTTTATCCATTATGGTCCTTTTTGAAAAAAAAGTTTTCCGTTTCTAGTATTCAACTGGCGCAGTCTGTAGGATAGAGGTAGCCGATAATACCAATAACGCGTTGATATTAGGAGTTATTTTCGGATCGATCAAATCAGTACTGATTATGATACTTCCGAGTATTCAACTGGCGCAGTCAGTAGGATTGATCACATTGGTACTGATTCTAACAGTAATGGTCAGAAAGAGAAGACAAAGGGTTATTGTCGTAATCAAGAAACAATTCAATGTGAGATTTCCATTTGACGCGACACGACTTTTGCTATGCAATAGCATCTTCAGGCGTCACAATGCATCACATTATTGTAACGCATGGTTAGCGTTTCGCCTGGTACAATATATTTATATGAAATCCCATTTGGAAATGTATCATAGTTCATGTCCCGATGACGTCAACTTTGTCGCAATTCCTCAAGACGAGTAAACCTTTATCTTGCCTCAAATTTTTTCCTCTTTACGATAACTTTCACAAACATCAGCCGACAGTGAAGGTGATAGACATTCCAAATTATCCAAATGGAACTCCACAAGTTAATCCCCTCACGCCCCCGTGACGAATGTCTCTTAACGTTCCCCGCCTCTTATCAGGGACACAAACGAACTAAAAGAACGTCTTGACAGCCCTGACAAACGCTTCAAAGGGAAATTTCCCGAACGAGTTAACAGTTTATTGTTTTGTTCCAGATAAGGCCCCGTCAGAAGCCGTCTTCCGCGGTACGGAGTTTCTATCATACGATCTCAGCCAGACGGGGGGAGAGCCCATCGTTAGTGCTCAAGATTCCGTCACCTTCTATTTCAAGACGAGGCAGCCCAGCGGATTGCTTTTTTATACGGGTGAGTACTTTTGCAAGGAATAGTGAGGAAATCCGGCTCGAAGGACCAGAAAGTGGGAATCATAGTTGTGATGATGAAAGAATACACGTGCGTCGTCAATGAAATACGTGAAAAATACATTCTTCTATACAGAATTTTTTCTTGTACCAATGAAAAACGAAGACAAAACAGATAAAGTTCACTTTTGAGCAGAGAAAGTTACTGTTAGTACTATGATGTAATATATTCAGTACATCAGAGATATACAAGCGTGATTCGTCAGAATTTTCCACGACATTTTGTATTCCACCGGATTTATTGATTTCAATCAAAATATATTTGTAGGCAAATGTGTCGGAGAATGAAATATGGTGTATATTTTATGTAACTGACTCAAATTTGTTGAATTGGGTTACTTTTCAGTGGAATACAGTTGTTGCTGAGACTTTGAGAAATAACTTTTCTCTTCGCAGTCAACGCACTTACCACTGATGATACCTGCCGCAGTAGCGGACAAAACGTTTTGTTCTTCAGTAGTTCAAGCGGAGTCAACTCAGGTAATCTAAGTGGCCATTCTGTAGAACCTTCCCTACATATTCATAGAGCCAGGAAGTTATTATGCCACAGTACTACTAGTAATGAGAAGGAGCTTCATCATATTGGAAAACAACCCCCGCCAGGGTTTGGTATTGTTTGGCATCACCTAATTATTCAGCAAATTTAAGTCTTATTCACCTTCCAGGTTTGCTTCCAAATTAAATGACCTACAATATGGTTACTCAATATTTCTGCCGAAGCATTTAATTTTGCTCCCTTACTGTTCTGTTTTTTTGTTCTATCAGAGAGGATGTCGTTTTTTTTTCGAGTAAAGTTCGCTAAGGAGGAACTGGAAAATTTGCCTATGCAGAATAGTGAATGTTTCCACAAGTGAAACTTGCTTTTATTTTTTCCAAGCCCTCTGAAGAGGGCTTGGAAATTTGAGAATCTGATATTTAACTCAAATAATATGATTGTCTAGCAATAAACTCGAATGATTAAGATATAACGTGAACGACCGACAGTTATGCTTCAGCAGGAACTGAAAACTTCATTCAAACTTGAATTATGAAACTGGCTGCATATATAAGTAGAGTCGTTTAAACTCGACTTCCTGTGCACTTCGTTGTAATTTCGCTGGTTTTCATTGCTGTTTCAGAGAATATTCCAGGAATTTTCGCTCTAGTGTGAAATATAAAATTATATGGGCCCTTTTATTTTTATCAGGCTCGCTATATAGAAAACAGTCTTTTTCATTTTCTAGACTTTATTTCAGAAATAAACGAGGATATTATTCCAGTGAAGCATTTAAAACTGTAAATCGTAATCGTAATGACATAAGCTAAGCATAGAAGATAGAAGATCGCCCTTTGATCTTGTTTCTGAAAGCCATATTGATGATTGCTAAAGCTGTGTCCTAAGCTTGCCAAATATTCAAAGATATTTGGGTTCACAACTTTCTTCATAATTTTTGATATCACTGATAGCAAAGCATCTGCTATATGGTTATTTATAAGCTTTTTCTTTCCCTTTTTAGGCTGAACGCAAGTAATCTTCCAACAAAAAGAAATCAGGCCCAAAATCCTGCTGCTGCATGTGGGAAAAAATGATCGGCTGTCACATTCTTCAACTCAATTAGCATACCACCTATTATAACTGAGATTGGTATGCTTTGACTGTGATAATAAAAGTAGTATCTTGAAGTCTCATCAACGTCTGGCTGAGAAGCTTCGTATTCACCCGTATTAATGATAGTAGGTAGGGAATCAAGGAAAGTGCCCTCTCCTGATTGGTTATTACTCATGTCAGATTGATCTGATTCGTCAACGTTTTTGATATGTGTTTTGCTGATAAGGTGGTACAAATCCAATACGCATATATACAGATGGCTCAAAAAACAAAGCGTGTCCAAACAGAACTGACCGGTATCTCAATCGCCACAAAAGAAATAACCAGGAAAGGAGTTTCTGGCAGAAACATAACAATCTGCACTGACAGCAGAAAAGCCCTATTAGCCTTGAACGTGTTACCTCAGTGCTAGTACTATAGTGCGACCAAGATTAAGCCAAAGCCTCGGTAGATATAACATCACTCTGGGGTGGATTGAAGGGCGAGAGAGTAGTAAAGGTAATCGCATTGCCGACTCGTCAGCCAAGGAAGCGGCTGGACTAAGAATTTTAGGACCCAGTGGCACCTACGGCCTAATGACTTTGACAATTGCGGAACTAGCCAAATGTTACACCCATGCTCAATCCATAACGAGATGAGAAGGAATGGGCGACCCTGAGAAGCTGGCGCCGAAGAAATATCTGGCGATTACCAGGAAAAACCTACGCTCAACAGTAGGATTTCTGACTGGCCACTGTCAACTAAGGAAACACCTACCCTACATAATCAATCCATGAGTTATCGTCAATAAGAGAGTGTTGTGCGTTCGGCGAGTCTTGGCCTACACCTACATGAAGGAGATGTCTCCTAGTGACCTGTCCACCTTCCTGGAAAGGACAGGATGGACGATGACCTAGGAGGACAACTCCTCAGGAGGAGTCAGATGTGGGCTAAGTGCTGTGGACTTACACTCACCCTACTCTACAGATACAGATACAGGGTGACTAACGGAGATGTAATCCAGTTCAGTTTCTGCCTTCTTCGAACTGTTCAAATGTCACAACATCAAGACTATTCAGAAGTCACTCCGTATTTACTGTCTATTCACTATACAGGGCTTTTCATGATGAGCGTTAATTAGCCGTTTCTGGCAAACTATTCAACGGATCAACCTGAAAATTCCACAGTATGCATAAGTTAATATGACCTACACCCGTAAAATATTTTAGACGAAGCGGCGTTGTCGCTTCTACTATAAAGTAGCGGCTCCTTTGATTTTTCAAATGGAACACCCCGTATATAATATCATATAATGATTCATTATCACTTTGTCAACAAATTCATATACTATCTTCCTATACCTATCTATTACCGTTTAGAAGATATAAATTAATTTCGATATTTTTTTTACCAAACATGAACTTTTATAAATGCTGATAATCTTGAACTCTCTTGCACTAAAACGATCAAATTTTAAATGGAGTGGAGTGATACTATGAGGATCTTCACTCCGAGTCATATTTTCATTTGCCTCATACAGGGTCAAAATGCAGATACTTTGATCTCATGAAAAAATGAGTGGAACTCAATTTTTTCAAATGAAACACCCTGTATATCTCAACATTTTTGAGCTCTACATCCAATTTTAGATCAACTTTGTTCAGATAATACTATTTCTATTTTGAACCGTTTTCGAGAAAAACTGTTTCAAACGGAAATTGACATGGTTTCCTTGTTCATCACTCATTTTTGTAAAACAGATTTCGTTTGATGTTTCTCAATTAGTCACAGATAATACAATGAAAAGATAATTATTGAAATACTCCTCAACCATCGAATGAAACTTCTCTTCAAACAATAGTTTTATTAACGCTGAAACACGAACTGAAAATAATAAACCCATAAATTAATGAGTTAATTTAATCGTCAGTGTATTTCAGAATATGTTCAAACACATTTCCACCTCTACTTGAACAAACATGTAATCTCTTCAAAAGATTGTCATGTGTAGCGCTTCTGATCAAGTCTGGAGTCAAACTATTGAAAGCAGTTGTAACTCTCGATTTCATATATTCCATTGTTGTTATTGAAGTAGAGTAAACCATATTTTTAATGAAACCCCACACGAAATAATCTAATGGATTGTCATCTGGTGTTCTAGGAGGCCAACGAAAAGGTCCATTATTACCAATCCATCTGTCTTCGGAGATTTCGGTTGAAGCTTCGCTGACTGAATGAGAATTATGGGGTGGAGCACCATCTATTTGGTACCATACACGTTCTCTTCCTGGTTTATTATTTAAAATCATTTGAATTCCATTCCTCAATAAATATTTTGATGCATTCAAATTATCATCATAAAACTCGATATAAAAAATTGACTCATTCTTTATGGCACAAAATACATTGAATTGCCATCTTTCTTGAAAACCCCTTTGGTGGACAACATGGGGATTTTCTGGCGCCCAATAATCACTGTTGTCTCTATTGAAAACTCCATTTTTGTGAACTTGGTCTCATCTCTCCATATGATATTGTCAAGGAAATTTTCATCCTCTTGAGTCTTGACAGGTAACCATTCAAAGAATTCCATACGAGGTAAATCAGTCTCTTTCAAATGTTGAACACAGTAGAACTTATAAGGATGCCATTTATGCTTATTAAGAATTCGACAAATTGTCACGTAGGGTATACCTATCTTCCTTTCAGCCTCGTGCAGAGAAGCATTTGGAAATGTAGTCGATTTATCACATTATTATTCGGCTTCGGAAGTTATGGATATCTTTCATGAAATATTCGGCATGTTCTACTTGCAATTCTATTGCTCTCACCATAAATTATTAATAAATTCAAGAAATCTTCATTACTGTAACCTAATCTTGACATTATTCTGTTATAATTGGTAGCTATCACAATCAGTGAAAACCACCAACGAAAGTCTGACGTTAAATAATTGGTTTATTTATTTTTCCAAAGCACACTATAAAAAAAGATGAATGTGTACTGTTGTACGTTAGAGACCAATACCTCAATGTATACAAATTGTAACTTTTTCTAAGGTAGGAACATATCAATTTCGAATTGACTGATCTGAGACAGTTAAAAAACTGGATCAAAAAGAAATATTACTAAGTATAAAAAAAATGTTGAGTATCCAAAATAAACGAGTTCAAAAAAACGAGCAAGAAAACCACGTCAGTTTCCGTTTGAAACAGTTCAAAATAGAAATAGTATTACTCGAACAAAGTTAATCTAAAATTGGATGTAGAGCTCAAAAATGTTGAAATATACAGGGTGTTCCATTTGAAAAAATTGAGTTCCACTCATTTTTTCATGAGATCAAAGTATCTACATTTTTTGAAGACCCCGTATGAGGCAAATGAAAATATGACTCGGAGTGAAGATCCTCATAGTATCACTCCACTCCATTTCAAATTTGATCGTTTTAGTGCAAGAGAGTTCAAGATTATCAGCATTTATAAAAGTTTATGTTTAGTAAAAAAAATATCGAAATTAATTTATATCTTCTAAACGGTAATAGATAGATATAGGGAAATAATATATGAATTTGTTGACAAAGTGATAATGAATCATAATATGATATTATATACGGGGTGTTCCATTTAAAAAATCAAAGAAGCCGCTACTTTATAGTAGAAGCGACAACGCCGCTTCGTCTGAATTATTTTAGGCGTGTAGGTCATATTGATTTATGCATACTGTGAAATTTTCAGGTTGATCCAATAAATAGTTTGTCAGAAACGGCTAATTAACGCTCATCATGAAAAGCCCTGTATATTTGCGAAAGACTCTAAAACCGTCTAGTGATAAAAGATAACTTCTGTCATCCACTGATGGTAGCAATCGTCTATATCAAACAGACTTGTTGCCTTTTTTGTAGATTTTCAAAAATGCGATGACTTTCAGGAAATAATAATAATGATAATAAATGGTCTTTATTTTTATCTTGGCGTTTAGCTTATTGATTGAAGAAACATGACATATATGAGTAATAGAGATTTCACTGAACCACCTGTAGAATACTCCTTTTTTTACAGGGGATGGTAACGATTACCTGAATGTTGCAATAAAAGACGGGTGTCTCAGTCTCACCATGGGATTGTCTAATGGAAAACAGGAGATGCAAATAAAGCCCAACAAAGTACGATTCGATGACAACCAGTGGCATAAAGTCAGCGTGCATAGAAGGATACAAGAGGTGAGTTATATGGCCGGTACATACTCTTAGAACATGTAAATTGTAGTGGAAAAATTACTGAAACACTTCTTAATACCGTTACGGACAGCTATATACTCTATAGGAGAATATATGTTTGGTAAATTGATTTTGTGAAAAACTTCAGTTCAGCATGAAATATGTCAAAGCTATTTCCCAAAATTTTTGGTAATGTCTGATGCACAACGTTTCGTCTACACCTGTGGTTGATAGTTATAGTTGCCCCCAAAGAAAATAAATCATTATTGGTTCGGGTCTCCACTTTAAATCATTGGTTAAGGGTGTTGCTTTATTCGAATGTTGAATTGAATGACTTGATGCCAAAGGAATTGAGTGCAGATAGCTAGATTCTGTTGATGTTAATTCTTCCTTCCTTTCAACTGAAATTGTTCCAAAGTTTATGAATTTCATTTCTATTAGTTCCAATGTAGTTTTGAATAGTAATTCGGAATTCTGTCGAGGAATTGAGACTTTTTGAACGTGAAAACATGAATATTTTCTCTGGATGCATATTGCGCTTACTGCTGACTTGTCAGTATACCTCAGGCGATGAATTTATTCGTGCTTAGGAATCCACACAAACGAAGACAAAGTTTGTTTTTCTCCTGTGTGAACGTAGATAAATCAAAGGATCATATTGCATTTTCCAACAGTTGAATGTGGAAGTAGTTTTAAAACTGCATGTTTACTTCAACTGCTGTTCAACTGAGTTCAAAGACATTGGAAGCTATTGGGAAATTAAATTAGCAGTTCGGACTGTGACAAAAAATATATCGGTCAGTCTATGTGAGTCGTCAAAAGACGTTTCGAAGAACATGCAGCACATATCTGATTTATGAGACCACATAAGTCTGGTGTTGCTCGAAAAGTCTCAGCAGACGGTCATACAATCAATGAACAATGTAAAAAACTGTTGGAATCGGCATATAACACTGAATTATTGTATGCTTTTGAAGTCTGGACATTCAAAGTATGACGTGAGGACTATAAACACTATCAATGGAATGGATAGAGTTAGGATTGGGTCTGTTTATCTCCTGAAGGTCCAACTCGGTTGATGAAACGTACATCGAGAAGTTTGTTGCAGTTCTGATGTTTGGGAATAGTATTCCTGTGATAGATATTCCAGAAGGGAATAATGATACTGAATTCAGAAATAAAATTTTTTTTTGAAAAGTATCAAACACTTCATTTTTGAATTGAAGGGGTTATATTTTTAGGAGTGATTAATTTTTTGCTGATGCTGTTTGGAATGAATAGAGTTAGGATTGTTCATTGATTCTATGGCCGTTTGCTGAGGCTTTTCGAGCAACAACAGACTTGTGTGGTCTCCTAAACTAGATATGTGCTGCATGTTCTTTGAAACGACTTTTGATGACTCACGTAGACTGACCGATATATTTTTTGTCGCAGTACGCACGGCTAATTTAATTTCCCAATAGCTTCCAAATCAGCTGGGATTGAATCAAATAGGTGAATGCGTGTAATTACGATGTCATCAATGACATAAACAGATCAAGCTTATTCCGTGACATTAAAAAATCGTAAATAATGAATGAATTGTGTGTATTTTCTATAATGTTATCCAACTTGGTACTAAAGAGCCTTGGGGCAAGTGTCTTAGGGCGAAACATTATACCAGTTAGGATGACAGTGTTCCATGTAAGTGCAATTTGCCACCATTCATTTAAAGTAGAACTCATGTGAATGATATCTGATTTCTAATTCACAACGAATGTTTGAAATACAAACTGAGTACAGGAAAGTATCTTCTGTATAATTCAGTATTCATATGAAAGTATTTGTTTCGAAAGAATTTTTTTTTCGTGTAATTCAATGTTTATATGAAAGTAGCTGTTTCAGGAGGACTTTCTTTCAGTTTGTGTCAGAAAGTTACTTATTTGCATGATCTACACATCCATGTATAGAGTTATTTATTTTCACATTGATTACTTCCTTCCTTTCTTTGGAAAATTCCCCCATACTTTTTTTTTGTATAAAGTTGGAATTCCAAAAACAGTTTTGTTTCCTGCTATGAGTCTTAGAACATCTGAACTCGGATGAAAAAAAATTCCTTTCATTTCTCAGGATGTTTACACCACTTTATTTCTGGAATATGTTCTGCTCCGCCAAATAGAGCAAAACTGATTTAATTTCAACGATGTTTTTTCAGCGTCATCCTCGAAATGAATCTTTTTTCCGGAACGATCATTCTGTTATCTCTGAACAATATTTTCCAGAGCGTTACACACTACTCAATGTGATGAAAATTATCCGAGCGTAATCATCCTTTGGAAGTGCAATATTGCTAGTTCAGGGAGTCTTATCGCTAGATATCAGGTTATTATTGAAAAACTATGCACTTGAAGTATCAGAAGATGAACAAAATTATACTCTAGAAACGGAAAAGCTCAAAATGTGGGAATTTAGTTCAAGTAAGTTGTGATAAATTAAAATGACGAATTGTGAATACCACAGTCTTAGCTTGTATCAAATAAATCAGTTGAGAAATCATGAAATGATCTGTGATGCACTGTTTGGAACATTTAGATGAATATTACACCCAACCATCATTTTAACACCTCGACACGTGTTTCGATCACCAACTGATCATCTTCAAGAGGAAGAACAAACTAGTCAGTCTGATTTTTCTCTTGATAGGTAGGGTTGTACACGGTCTCAGATACGGAACCAATAATGGTGCAGTTCTTTTTATTTGCAATCTGCTATTCATCAACAAAGTTGAGTAGGCTGAGGAATGACTGAACAAGTTAGACACTTCAATGACTGGAATGGAAAAATTGCTAAAACATGTGTTTGAGGAATTAGAAATGTCCATCGCAATACTTTATTTCACAAGTCAATCAGTTAGTGACAGATCAGTGACACATATGCAGAATGAACAATGCATATAGAAGGAGAAAAGTGGAGGATTCAACGCCACTTCCCCTCATTCCATTTGGAACGGAGGTGAAGAATATTGATATTGTCTTTGATGGAAACTCACCTGAAATACTGATTTGGAAAAAGTTTTGCTCAAAGCCAGAATGTTCATATAGACTTGTCGAAGGATTTGTGGTAAACTTGGAGTTCAGGTCCCAAACAAATCCATTGGACTCATGTGATAATTGTCAAAACAATTTCTCCGTAAGTGATCCGTTAGGTTATGGTGCAGCTGTCTACAGTCGCAGACCCAGGACAGACATGTCAATCTGACTAAGAACCTATGCGACTATATTTCAAGCGGAAATCTATGCTATTAAACTGTGTGCGGAGAGATTGGCGGAATCCAACCTCATACCCAAGTCAATTGAAATATTTTCTCGGACAGTCAAGCGGTATTGGAAGCTCTTGCCAACTACCAAGCAATGTCTAATTGGTAACAAATTGCCATAAACGACTCTCCTCAATAGGAAGACTGATCAAATTGTCTCTGGTCTGGATTTCTGGCCATACTAGCCAAGGAGGCAATGAGGCTACAGACTCCCTTGCAAAGATGCTGCGATTAGCTTTATTGGACCAGAACCTATAGGTAGCATTGCTTAAAGCTTTGTCAAACAAGCATTGAACAGCTGGATGGTAAGAAGATATATGGAGGCAAAATCTTCCAGGATTTGTTCTTTCCAAGGTGTTCATTCACCCTTTGAAGCTTGATATCAAACACTTATTGGACTACATTCACGCCGAACATTTTCGAACACAGTAACGTCAATATCTCTACAAATATTCATTATTCTCTGCCGTATATCCAATTTCGAACAGGTTCAGTTTCGTACACGTTTTGCTTCAAATAGCCCCATGATAAAAAAATGTCCCAAGGTGTCAAATCTGGCGAGCAGGCTGGCCATTCTGTAGGAACTCGACGGCCAATTTAACGACTGGGAAATGTAGTATCCAAATAGTTTCTTACTTGTCTGGAGTAATATGGTGGTGCTTCATCTTGTTGGAATACAATATCCACAACGAATTCATTAGGATTCGCTTCAACGATTTCAGTGATGAGAGGGTCAATAGTAGTTTCCAGCATATTCAAATACAGTTCTCCTGTTGAATTTTGATCAACAAATGGAGGTCCTACAATATGGTTTTCCAATATTCCTGCCCAAACGTTAATTTTTTGTGGATATTGGGTATGTGTTTCCCGGAACACGTGAGGGTTAGTGGCACTACAATAACGACAATTTCGTCTGTGAACATTGTCGTTTGAAAAAAACATGTACATTCGTCACTGAAACAAATGTGGAGATAGGTAGGATGCCTTGCAATGGTTCCGTCATGATTTCGCAGAATTCTGTTCTTCGATCAGAGTCATCTTCAGTTGATTGCTGTATCATTTTAATTTTGTGAGGATGATACCTATTCCTCTTCAAAAGTCTCCACACAGTAGAAGGAGACACCTCAACGGAATAAGTAGCCTGTTCAGGATTTACTACCATCTCACTAATTATTTGCACTTGCTATTCTTCCGGAATGGACGGATGACCTGGGGGCCTTCCAGCTACAGACCAATGGTATTAAGACTGGAAAGCAAGTAATTGAGAGTGGAGTTCCTCAAGGATCAGTTTTGGGCCGGACTGTATTTTTCATTTATATTAACGACCTCACCAACTTAGACATCAATGGTGAAATTACTATTTTTGCAGATGATACATCGATTCTATGGCACAACAAAAGTTCTTCAGAGCTTAACTACCACATAAGCATAGATACAAAAAAAGTTAGGAATTGGTGTGATTCCAATCTTCTAGCTTTCAATATTAGCAAAACAAATACCATAACATTCAAGGGCGACTTAGGTGATGTTTATTTTGACAAGGAACAAATCTCCGGATAATCTACGGATAATAAATTTCTGGGACTTCTGATTGATAATAAATTGAAGTTTGGTAACCATATTACAAAACTATGCAATCGATTAGCTTCAGGTTGCTTTGCGGTTCGTGTTGGGTATAGCGAAGAACGTATACTACGCACTAATAGAATCTCATCCTCGTTATGGAATCTGCTTCTGTAGCGCTTGTGCCCAGTATTTATTTCAAAGAGTATTCTCTCCCCAAAAAAGGGCAATTAGATACCTATGTAGTTCTGATTACCGTGAATCCTGTCATCCCTTGTTTATGCAACATGGAGCTCTGGCATTGGTTTGTATCTACATTTTGGAAATGGCTTGCCTCATGCACAAGAAATACCAAGCTATAATCATTTCTGTGTCAGCCTGTAACACTCGCTCCTCTCACTTGATCTCGCTTCCAATTCCCTCCTCAACCTTAACTCGCAACTCTCTAATTTTTGAGGGCTTATTGTAAGTGTGAATTTATGTGTATTTATGATCTCCTTGCTAACTGTATATTTGTGATGTTATCATGGTGACTGTAAGCTTTGTCATGAGAATTGTTATTCTTGGACAATAAAGTATATTTTGATTTTTTTATTTTTCATCAAACCATATCGGGTTGTTGAAACTGCCATATGGCAGATAAAAAAGAATATTTCTAGAAATATCGATATTGATGTGTTTGTCTTCAGGAAATTATTTAATGTTCCTCCATTATGTAGTAGATGAAGATATTGATTTCATATTCTGGGATTATGAAGTATTCGTCAGGAGCTTCGAAATTATGTGTCAGAAGACCCCCCTTTCTATTTAATTTGCGCCCAGTCGCCGTCATGAAAGCTTCATCTGTCAATTCCACTTCAAAATAAAGAATTCATGCATTAATTTCATCATCCTATATTTCAAAATTTTGAGTTGACGCGTTCAAAAAATAAAAGGGGGTGTGGGCATTAAAGAAATGCACTGTACATTCATCTACACATTCTTTTGCTCCATAGTCCATTGAAAGTATTGATTGGTGGTATAGAATTAGATTTACGTCTTCGGCTAAATTGAAACTAATCATTCGTTTTGTTTCAGATTTCTCCTATCACGAGCTTTTGCCGGGTGAGTATTCACATGGATATAAAGAAGAACTTGAAATTGAAATGGTAGATGAATTTCGCTTGCAAAATGGAACACCAAAATCACACGAAACTTTTGTAAATTGTAGCCTGTATGTTATTCTGATGTAAAAGCTGTATTTATTTAAAGTTCCATCTGAATCCGTTCAGTCGTTTAGGCGTGGAAGAGTAACAAACAAACACATTTCACATTTATAATATTAGTATAGATTCAAATGAATTGAAATCAGGAATTCTCACGAAAATGGAGTAATGAAGATCTCCGACATGAAATTCGACAGACAAATCGTAATCCTATTACAACGAAACTATACAAAAACTTTCCAGACCGCTTGTAGTCGAAATTCAGCGAATAGCACGATGTAGTAGTGAGCTTTGCTTGTTGAATATTATAACTGAAATCTCACATAAAGCTCTTTATTTCAATTAAACGCTTCCATCCGATTAGTATCTTTCCGCGCAAAGTATTTTTAATAATTAACTGAGGAGAATTCGCAACAACATAAGCTAAATTAAATTATGTTTTATACGTTTTTAAGGCGATTATGTATCGTTGGGAACTTTGTTCTAGCTGAATTTCTAGTTGTTTTAATTGATTGAAGCGAAAGTTGAGTCCTAGAAAGATTCAAAATGAGGGTTCTTCAGACTGCTTTGTTCAGTGAAATCTTATTATCCATTGAGGAATATTCTGAACATAAGAACTCTAACTTTTTGAATAATATCAAAGTTTCAAAAGTACGAAAAAGCATTGCAGACTGTGATGTCATTGAGTTTGTTTTCTAGAATCAAAATATTTAGGCCGAAGCTGGGGAAGCGAAGAGAGTAATTTTGCGGACATTGGCGATGAATAATGCTACGAAACTGCTGCATAAATGATTACTCAATTTTAGAGAGATTCTGCTGCATGCCTTTCGGATGATGTTGGTGCACATGGTTGGTCACAGATTTTGCAAATCTTGGTTTTCAAGCTCTCTTTCAATGGCTTCTTTGAATTCTACCGGGTTAATCGCTACTTTTCTCCTGATTTCCGTAGTGTGTGGTTTAATATTATGATCAATTTCGAAAATTATGTATTTATGTGTACTCAGCGTCTCTTTATCCAGTACTTTCCAGTTGTCAACAGTTTTCGATATTTTTGGAGTAGCCATTGTTATGTCAATATAGGTTTGACTCTCCCTCCCTCACGAAAGTAGGTTTATCACCTTTATTGATGACAACCAGCCCGTTGCGGGAGATTCACTCAGTCAGCATATAGCCCCTGCGGTCTGTGACGGGCGATTCCCATTCCGGGGATTTCGAGTTAAAATCCCCTGCGATCAAGGTTTCTCGCTTTTCTTTGTTGATGTGCTCCATCAACTTGTCTATGAAACTGGTGTACCTCTCAAAAGTGGAATTTGGGGATATGTAGCAAGCGAAAATGTTTAGCTTTTCCAGTTTTACGACAATGTACCCCTTCTTCTCAACTATCCCTTTCACTCTAATGTTTCTGTTTCGGAAGTATACTGCAACGTCCAAGTCTGAGTCTGTCTCCCATCCGTGGTTCTTTACTAGTTTTTTATTAGGAACGCCTACTATAATTAGGTCACTTCCTTCCTCATTTGCTGTTAGAAAAGCCAGATCGTGGGCGTTTCTCCTCCTATCTACGTTAATTTGTAGTATTCTCAACGCCTTTCCCACGTTCACTTGCAGTACTCTTAGCTCTGGAGGTTGCACCCGATCCCATCCTCGACATTGTCTTCCTGCGCCTCCATTTCCTCCTCTCCCTCTTCTTCCTCTTCCAGTTCTTTCTGTTCTAGATCCTTCTGTTCTTTTTCCATTCTTTCCTCTTCCCTTCTTTCTTCTACTTATCTGTACGCCTTGTCCATGGCTACCATCAGAAGATATCCCCCTTCATTTTGCTTCCCTTCTCCCCTTTCTTTCATTTCTCTGCCCCGATTATAGTGCTGCCTCGTTTTCTTCAGTGCTGCTCTGAATGCTTGACATCCTCTTGATCCCTGTTGTGCCCTTCGGTGTTGCACGCTATACAGTAGGTCGGGTTTTCACATTCTGCTGCCCTATGACTCTCCTTGCCACATTTGTAACAATTTCCTGCCCTGTACTGCTCATTACATCCTTCTGTGGGATGCTCATAGCTCCAACACCTTTTGCAATACTCCACCTTATGTCTTTTCTCCGTCCTACCCCTTGCCAGTCCTATTCTTATATATCCCTTGGTCGCCAGTTCATCTGCTTTGTCTAGGGAAATTCCCTAGCAGTACTTACTGGTACTTACTGGTACTGCTAGGGTATTTTCCTCCAATGGTCTCCCTCAATAACCTAACCTAACCTAACCTAACCTAACCTAACCTAACCTAACCTAACCTAATGGACATTTCATCAGGAACAAGTCGCATTATGTGTTCAATTCCTTTCTAGCTGTTGGTGTTCTCTCTCTTCGTTCTCATTTCGTTCCATAACATCATGTATATATGTAACTTGCAAAAATGTTTGTCGATTATGATCTAATATCCGTCGAAGTATCACACAGAAAAGGAGTTGTTCCCTGTCAGAAATCTTCCAGATCCTACTAGGCAGGAAAGTTAGAACACATGTATTAATCCGGTCAATCTATACATTGGAAGGTACATAAATTTACAACAAGCTGCAAATGCGTGTAATTATTCAAAACATAGTTAAAATTTGGATTTTGAAATTCCGAATGATTGCGATGCCTGGAAAAAAATTTATTCAAGGTCAAAGGTCAAAAATCTCGAAACAAATTGGTTTTTCGAGATTTTCAGGAAAACAGTGAGTTTTATCATAAAATAACTGCAGATAGAAATTGTAGATCATAAAATTCTCTACAAAAAATGTTTCAGTACTTTTTTCTCTTAGAGCCACCGTTTCTGAGATGCGACGAGTCAAAAAGTTGCAAAAGTTGTAATCGTCATTACATGCACACGTTTCCACGCCTCCTATGAGGTAGTGTAATTAGCGCGTTTATTCAACATGGTCTCCCCAATAGGCCTATTCCACATGTCTGTTGTGATTCTGACGATTTGAAAACTTGCATAATGAAATATATTAGGAAGGATTGGAAATTATAAAAGCAATTGAAATTAAAAAAATGTAATAATATATTCATCTGAGTCATAACCTCCAAATACTTCTTCTTGCCGTTCTTCTTCATGGTCTTCTCCTTCTTGATCTTCTCCTTCTTCTTGATGTTCATCCTGGGTGCAGGTAAACTACGTCAAGAGTGATGTGTCGCATGTTTCCTCGTTGGTATCAGATAAATCCTACACTATTGGTGATTCAGCATTATAACATGACTGGCCTTGACAATGTGTACATGCCAGAGAACACAACAGACCAACTTTTTTACAACCACATTTAGCGCGGCATCCCTTTTTATAGTTGCAGAAAATTGTGTTCAGCAGTTTTTTCGGCGCAGGTGGGAGTAAAGTCTGAATAGGTTCTAATGCATTGTCGACCAACTTCCAACCCCAGTCTTTTGGGTCTAGGTGATAACCAAGCCACACTTAAACTTGGTATTATACCCGGAAACTATGTTGATGAGTAGCAACTGAGGTTGCAGGAAGACAAGCTAATTGCACCTGTTTCTTATTTTTAGTGTTTTTTACGAAACATGCATATCGATACTTATCTAAGCAGGTGGTTTTTTTCGGAGCTTTGTACATAGGAAGAAGAAACTGAATCCCGTTGATGATAATATATCCAATGGTTACTTTTAACAGTAACCATTGGATATATTTTCATTTCCAGCATACTTATTTCATTTTCATTATTATTACAGCTCTCCGCTGTCGTGGATGCCGTCTACGCAGATCATTCTCACATCGCCGGCAAGTTCACAATGTTGTCCTCGAGCAAAGTCTACGTCGGAGGCAGCATAAACACAAGGGCGCTTCCCGGAGCCAGAGTACATAATAATTTCGTCGGGTGCATGAGGAAGGTGAGTTTATATCGCTTGTTTTCAGTAGGTCGTATCGTAGTTGAATTAGTAACGTAAACATAAATAACTCAACAAATAAAACCAAATATACAGGGTGGCCCGTTAGTGCGAGGAAGTACATTATCTCACCTATAATGAGGAGTATAATGAAATGTTTCAGATGATAGCACAGAGCAACACAAATACCATCATAAAAAATGTATGGCGGAAATTCAAGCAAGATTATTTGAGACATGCAATAACACAAACTTAATTGTTTCAAGTGAAACACCCAGTATGTCATCTAACCGGTTTTTAGAAATATTTCATCCCTACAAATTTGGATTAGATGGAATATTCTCCAAAACTGACACTTTTTGAGAAATTCACTAGTCAATTTCCAATTTGTCAAAAGTTGTCTTTTATTCATGTAAAGGCCAGCTAGAATTTTGACAGTTAGATACTGTTACTAAAATCCAACATAATTGCAATGTCAAACTCAAAACTGAAAATCGGTTGGGGAAAGTCTGGAAAACATGTTGTTTTCGTTGAAGTCGAACTTAAAACTGAAAATTGGTTGTGGAAAGTCTGGAAAACATTTTTTCGTTAAAGTATTTAGGACCAGGTAGCCGAGTGGTTAGAAAAATTGCTTTTCAATCGTTTTATACGCCGGTCGTGTGGGTTCAAAGCCTAGCGATTGAGAGAAAGTGCTAGGAATCGCACTTTGAAACGTAAGACCTCGTTGGCAGAGTTCCGATTTCTGAAGTCTGCTCGTTTATAATCTAATGTTCGAGAAATATAATTTTCAGTCCATATCGTCTCTTTTTCCAAAGTCATAATAACAAAAATTGTAGGAATAAAGTAGGTTTTCAAAATGGTAGATCAACATACAGGGTGTTTCATTTGAAAAAAAAATCAAAATTTTGATATTCGAAGTTTGTCAAGTGGTTGCTTCTGTATGAAGCAGCAATAACTTGACAACGCCGCAAAATTTTCGAAAAACTGAAATATCTACTCACGTAGAACATTTCGCTCAGTTCAACGGTAAAAAAGGAACACTCTGTATATTCCTAAATATTTTTAAAATGACCAACAAAGTAAGTCATATGATTTTTATCTGAAACATTTTATCATACTCATCATTATAGGCGAGATACTGTACTTTCTCACACTAATGGGCCATCCTGTATATGGAACATAATAAGTTATGGAAAACTCTGTATATCTGTCTGTTTCTTCGTTTTGAAGGTACTGATAGACAGTAACAAAATGACGTTTATATAATACATTCCTTCTGGAAAGATAAGTTACAAATTATAGCGTGGAATAAACATATGAACTGAATCATATTTAAGTCTCCAAAAATACGTACAAAATCTGATGATAATTTTCAGTATGGTGGGCAGCGTCATATTAACATCATTTATATTAATGTAAAATAATTTTCCATCAACTTTTCTGGGAAACTTGAGATTTTTCCCTTTATACACATATATTTTCATTTTCTTCAGATTCTAGAATAAATTTCACAGAATAGTCGATAGGAATGAATTCAGTTCAATAAAATAGTCGACTTTAAGTTGTGTGTGATAAAAATATCCGTCAGTTCAAAATGAATATTTTCATTTCGAAGTCGTAGAGGAGGTATAATGTGCAACACACACGTAAAATCATTCATGCATTCGTTAAAATTGCACCCATTTACGGCTCATATTACAAGCAATTCCCTCGTTTGAAAAGTAAAGTTTCAAGCTCAGTAATTATATACATAAGAACAAACCTGATGTATTCAATATCGAAAATGATGTTACTCGTTTTCTCTGTTCATCACCAATTGACAACTCTTTTTGTCTTCTAAAATACAATATCGTCGATTCAAAGAAATAACGAAGTATTTTTCCAACTCCCTCCACTTCGATTACATCCTTTAAATAGTTTGACCTGGATCCTGAATAGAAACGCCGATGTATTTCCTGCAAGAAAACAGAAACCTTCACTCCGCCGAGATATTTATAAACGTCCAGCAAGAATGAACATCCGTACAAGAGCAATAAAAGTTTTTGGGTAGCATCAATCAGGTGCTTGCAACCCGGCTTCTGGGATGTTTCCCGAAGAAAATTGGTCGAGACGGTTTGTGGATGGGTCTATAAGTAAATCCAGTGGGGTACTGATTCGAAGATGTAACAGTATTGATTGAAAAGTCAGATGTTATTCTTGAAATCGAAGTGTTTAACTGACGAATTTGTGATTCATGAAAGAAGTGAATAATAATAATAATTTTATTCCAGTCAGATCACAATTCAAATGATATTGGAACAGTCAAAAAAAGAGAACACAGCACATGTATATATAAAATCTTGAATAATAGTAAAGTAATATTCTGACAATTATCACCGGTCATATACCTAAATGTATAAAATACATAAAAAACTAATGAATAGAGTTTATTCTATAATTTTCACTATGAGGGTTATACAAAAACTGCGACACGTGTTTCGCTATACAATAGCTTCTTCAAGCATAACTAAGAGTTACTTCTAAATTACACCTTATATACTATAACCTAGTACCTAAGTAATAAATCTACCTGGACAAATATACCTTAAAAAGTCAGGTATCAATATATTTTTCGAAAGTCTACATGAAAATATACCTAAATATTATTACCTGCTTGTGAACAAATTCAATGAAGGCGAATTATTCAATTCAGTTTGGTGAAGGGTTTTTGAATTTGTTTATTTCCATACTCTCCAACAGATTAAGTTTCAAACCTTCCTTCTGGAAATGGAGGGGTTTGTATTCATGGTTGAACTCATGTCCCTCTGAGATTAAATGACTGGCATATGTGGAATTTATTTTTCCATTCTGAAAAGTATATTTGTGTTCCTTTATGCGAGCTTTGAACGTTCTTCCAGTTTGACCTATATAAAACATCGGACATGACCCACACGATAATTTAAACACTCCTGATTTTTCTGAAACTGAACTTGAATCTTTGTTATTTTGAATGTGCATGTCTAAGTTGTTGTTGGTTTTGAAAGCAGTATTTACACCTTTGCAGAAAATCTGAAATATTTGTAGAGGTTTGGCCTGAATAGGTAAAAGTTCTATAACTTTTATCCTCTTTTCTTCAAATTGGGTAAACTTCTTTCAAAGCTTGACTGTATAACTTCTTTGATAATAAAGAATGTATCAGACCACTATCATAATCATTGTTGACGGCTATTTGCCTTTATTGGAGTTCGCTTCTGACAAGGGTACATTTATCAGTCTGTGGATTATACTGTTGAAAGCTGCTACCTTATGCTGATATGGGAGGTAGCAGACATTTTTTTATATCTTGCACCATCTAAGTTTTTTATAAAACTATAAGCATTTTAGTTGTATAGTATAGCTGGTTAGGTTATGTTAAGTCCGAAGTGAGTGGGTCTATTCGACCCTCAAACGCAACCCGCAAGGGTTTATTGTGGTTCACACCCATTCACACTCGACCAAATAAACCCAGCTTCTTAACGAAGCCGATTAGTTTGTATGGTGAGTGGTCTTTCAGGACAGATGGTGAACTCAAAGAACCTGATTTGGTCCCCAGCGGGGCAGGCACAAAGTATATGCTCTGCTGTTTCATCATTTTCCAGACAGAGGCGACACACTCTGTCTTCCGACAGTCCAAGTCTCTGCAAATGATGATTCAAATGACAGTGACCTGTAAGAAGGCCTGTTAGACATCGTGGTTCATCCCTACTGTAGTCCAACAACTGTTTGGAATCAAGCTTCGAAGGGTGAATAAACGCTTTGGAGTGAGCCAATCCTGGAAGATCCTGCCAGGAGTCCATAAATATTCTTGCCATCCAGGTGTTCAGTGTTTGTTTGAAAGTAGTTGAGAGTGATGAATGATAAATGCCAAACGCTAACAAAAGTTTGTGATATCGTTATAATCAGCCACAGACCTTGTAGACCGGTTTTTGATGCTTTACTAGGTCCACCCTATTTTTGTATCGCAAACGGGTCACATGCAAAATATTTAACGAGCGTTTGGGTAGGTTTCTACCAACAGTGGTGTGCGTTCGGGTATTCGCTCAAAAATAAATGTCTATTCATTTTTATTTAGGATCTTTCTTTAGGCGCCTGTCATCTTCAGAGTCAATTGGACGTCTCTGCGTGGAGACGTCCAATTGACTCTGGCCACTGTGGTTTGTGGAGACTCCACAAAAAAAAGTCTAACGGGGTCAATTCGCACGATTTCGTTGGACAGTTAACATCGCCTCCAAGTGAGATGATCATGCCCTCAAATCGCTTGTGCAGAATATCCAATGTGGTATGTGTGGCACGAATCCCCATCTTGTTGAAAACCATACGTCGTTGGTGTCCATATCGTTCAACTCGGGCCAGAAAAAGTTGGTAATCATCGACTTATAGTGCTCGCCGTTGACAGTGATTGCCAGGACAACATCGTTCTTAAAGAAATATGGACCGATGACGTCGCCAGCTCAAAATCCACACCAAACACTGACTTTTTCGGGATTCAATGGACGCTCTTAGATCTCATGGATTGGGATCGTCCCGAATTCAATCACTTTGCTTGTTCACGTACCCATTTATCCAGAGACAGGCTTGTCTGGCTATCAGTGGTGCCATCAGCACCACACCGTCAGCGGCCATGGAGATCCTTCTGGATCTCCCTCCTCTCCACATTTTTCTAGAGAGAGAGGCTAGATGGACTACATATAGACTTGTGCACATTGAAAATTGCACAAATCAATTTAATGCAGAGTGCAACAGACTGTTGGTTTACACTAGAAGTCACAGCATCATGGAAATGACTCCTGACTTTATGCCTCCAACTGTCAACTAAGTACTGCCTTATAAAGTACTGTTCTCAAGTAGAGAGGACTGGATCCTCCGGGAGAAGGAAATATTGAGAGCAGATATTTGTTGATTCACAAATGGATCAAAAACACCTTCCGGTTCTGATGCAGGTGTTTTCAGTCGCAGACCCAGGACAGAGATATCAACCTGCCTAA